AACGCACACTTCTTGTTTGCTGACCTCAGAAACACGAGGAGAGAATAGAGGGAGGGGAGACGGAGAAAGGCATGCTGGGTACAGGCCCCAGCTCCTTTTTTTCGGGAGGCCGGTAAAATACTTATGTTTTTCCTTCTTCAGAAGTGATTTAAATTCCAGGAGTTCGACTCGTGTTACTCTCATACTAATGAGAACACCACTGTCGTTTTAACATGTTACATACATGTTAACAATGAGCGGAAATACTGTGTCCATATTGTGTTGTGCTGTGATGTGTTCTGGACGTAACACGTGGCATCTTATGCGCTCAAAAAAGTTGTATATGTTACATGTCAAAGAACGAAGTTATTTTATAGCGTAGCATGGCCACGAGAAATGCTTCTGTGGTTGATGGGGTAAAAAAATAGAACCTGACAGATTTTGGGGGCTGATATCGCTGTATTAACATGAATATACATCTTGTCTGCATTGGTAGTTCTGTCAAATAAAGGTTTTGCATCAGCAAACATAAACCCTGATACCACTATATCCATAAAGGCTCATACTGGTAGACTTTTTATCAACATGAATCTGTTTGAAGATTACATCTGAAGGACATTACAAACTGAATATGTAGATACATTTGTTAGATTCAAGCAAATTTTCAGCGTCCACAATGGGACATTAGTTTGCGACGAAGAGGGACATGAGATCACACGGCTGACATTCACCACCATAGGTGGAGGAGTACCTTTGGGTTGGGAAATGTAAAGTAAAGAGGAATGAAAATGGACACCATTCTTTATATAAAGATGGATGTCATGACTGCTTCACGTAATTTAAACCAAAACATCTTGTTTGCCCCCTTGTGGCTGGCTGCATTATAGGTCAAAGTAGTTTCACTATAAGTCAAATTAATTTTTCCCTAAGATGGTGTCCGCCATTTTAAGTTGTTCTTATCATACTGATCTATGTTCAAAAGTTCATGTTAATGTAAACATGTAAAATCCCCAAAATTTTTAACAATTGCATTGTCTCCACTATCCTATGTGCCCCAAATAGGGAATGTACCAAGTGGAAACCCACCCTAAAGTAATCCATTGGTTTGTGAACTGCAGTTTTGAAGCTTAGAGTTTTTCCAAAGCTATCTTGGTAACCATCGTAACCATATTTAGAGGAGTGGGGGGTGAGACCTGCATCTATTGGAGGGTGAACTAGCGCTTCAGACCATAAACCTTGTAAGAATGATCCCTGACACCACGAAATTTAATCTTGGACTTCTTTAGAAACTGACTTCTTTTCGCAACCAGTTGAGTCGCCCTACGCTGCTCATTTGATAGAATACAGGTATATGGCTGCATCCATACAGTCTATACAATGTCCCTATGCTAAGATAGCTAGGTAGCTACCTATAAGGACCATCTGTATGAGTGCAGTTACTTTGTGTTGTGTAACAGACCCTCTGCTTCCTATTGTGCAATGTGTTACATTGTCAAGAACGAGTGAGAGTGATGTGTTGTGCTTCATTATCTTGTGCTTTCCATGGCATTGTTAACCTATTCCATTATTTTTGTAGATTACAACAGCTTGTTGTGCATCATCAATTCCTTGTTTACCTACTCACAGAGTATTCAGTATGGCATTAAGATTAACATGGTGACTGTTCATTTCATGACCTTCCTGCACAAGGGCAATCTGTGTCTCGTCACTGTTGCTGCCAAACCCCTTCATCAACAACCCATATTATACACACCGTTCAGACCTTGATCTTGGAGGTTGTCTGTACAGATCATATGAGCACAGGAAAACACCTTTTCACCGGCTCTTAAACCATGCTCAATGTGAAAGGACCAGACACTTGAAGCTGCTTGAGAAACGTTTGAAATATTCATCACTGGTAGAAATGCTGTCAAACTAAGAATAGACCTTCAAATACAACTTTTTTTGAACATCCACTGGTGGGTGTTTGTCTGATGATAATCAGTGTCGCAGGTCTTAGTTTATGCAAATTTTTATAAATTATTATTTGATTTCAACTTCAAGTTCTATTCTGGTCAAATGCAGCCTACCAAACAAACAGCTTTGCCGATTACTGAATCATCATCAGTGAAGGACGCACAACCTTTAGTTACTCTGGTTATCAAACGATCCAAAATGACGATGTTGAATATGGAACCAGAAGCGATGAGTTAATCAAGGGCGTTGTTGGTTATCACAGAGGAGGCTTAAGCAGTAGTCTCTGGTGTCAAGTCATACTCAGTGTTCTGACAGTGATCACCCCACCGTTGGAGCACAACTTCAACTCAACACTTTACATCTCGCACAAAGCCTCAGTCATTATGACATCTTTGGAGCTGATTTCTTTTCAGCTCAAAGGGTTGGTTATTATTACTCATTCCAACTCTGACACCACAGTGACCTGAAGGCAACCTGCCTTCCCTGCCACTCTTACACCTCCGACTCCAATTAGAAAAAACAGCTGCAGGGAGGTGGCACAGCGGTCGTTCCATATCATCGAATGAGACCAGCTCATATAAGAGCATCTCAGATTAGCTGCTAGATCCTAAATATAAGACACACTATGGTTTGTATCAGCCTAAAGGCAAAACATGCTTGTAGTGTTTGACTTTGAATTACCTATGGCATGTTGAATCATCGGATGAGTTTATTGTTGTCACAGATCAGAAAATTCATTTCAAATGTGTGAACTCAACCTAAGAGCTAGCAGTACACATGCTAAAAAAACCAGTCTTGTCTGTAGCTCTGTCGCTAGGTGATGGATGTAAAGGTGGGACAAGCTGGTGACGCAATAAGAAGACCAAACCATTTCATTTTTGTCTGGCCTGCTATGGACTGTATGAAAAGATGGACGTACACTTTGACCTTTTAGTTGGGTCCATGTCCCATCAACTAACACATAGGAGGCAGGGCCTATACTGCAGCCAGCCACTGGGGGGATCGAGACACTTTGGCTTCACTTATAGGGAGAGGTCATCTTGTCCATCTTTATATACAGTCAATGGTCTGTCGTATAAGTATTTGATATTGTATTGATCAGTGGCTAAATTCTTGATAAATCAAACAGCAATATAGGGTCAAATAATGAAACACTATAAAAGTAATTGAAGGGCTGAATACTTATTATTTCACCTGTGCTGTTTAGAGTTAAGTGATAATTTTGTTATTGGTTAGAAATTAAGCGTCGCCTATTGCATCACTTCAACATTACGACACTTTGTGTTTTCACTGGTGTGCTTGGATAAAATATCTTAAGTGAAGCTATGTTGTCAGGACAACCAACAAAGACACTTTTTATACTGGTGACATGCCACAGGTGAATCCATCTGATAAAGTAATACAGGTTTGACGTCAAAGGTCAAGATTAATAATAGTGATGATATGTGATAAGTGTAATAAAAGTCTAATTTCAACTACAACACCTTGTAGAAGGATATCTATCACTGGTATGTACTTACACAGTGTCACGTTTACAAAGGGAATGAATGTGAGAGATGTAAAAAAACAAGAGCCACGATTACATGTTGTTACATGGACAGCCCATATCAATTCTGGGAGGAACCTTGAGCGTAACAGGAGCAGTTTATTCCTGCGTCTCACTCCATCTTTTCTCTCTGTTGGGTGGCCTTTCATTCACTCAGGCAAACAATGCAAATGTAAAACTAATGAGCAACCCCCGACTACATTGACTTTCTTTACCCTGAAATGTGTGTTCGAATCTTGATGCTCTGCTCCATTCTGTGGAGTGCAGCTCCTTCCCTTTATGTTATGCAACAGTACCAGCGAAGGTCCACATAAGACGTGCAGGCATCCAGTAACCCCGTCAGGTCTCCGCTCCGCCCCAACATGGGCCTGCACGGGAAGGAAAAACACAATAAGCTGCAGTCCAGACCAACAGAGGAATTCCCCCGGCCCCTGCCTTTGTGAGGCCAAATTATAATTAATAACAGGTTGAATAATTCATTGCCAAGCGAATAGATGCCTTTCTCAGCCCATTTCTCCGCACCTGCCTCAGGAGGTGTCCCCGGGGCCTGCATGTGTGCATGTGCATGTAATGTTTGCGTGTGTGTGCGCGTGGTGGACAAGCTTCACATGGCCAGTAAAAGGAAAACACACAGCCGCACATCTTTCGCTCTCCGTTTGTCTTTCCTCCTCCTTGACATCATTGACTTATTCAAGAGAAATTGCACTTTTACATACACAGTGGTGAAGAGGATTCCTGGAATTAGGCTGGCTTTGCTCAGATGCCCCCCCCCCTCTTTATCTCCCTGATTGGGTCAACAGTTTGCAGGAAGTTCATGTGCATGAATGAATTGCTCAAATCGCTCATGTGGCAAAGTCATCGCTGTTAATTTGTTTGAGTGTGAAATTCAAACAGGAAACTGAGCCGAATCAATCAATAAACTGTTCATCCATTGTTAAGATGAAACATATTCAACCCCTGCTGTCAGTCCGTCAAATGAATAGAAACCATAGTGTCAAAATAATGCTTTCATGAAGCAATGTTTGTTACTCTGTTTGTGTGTGTGTGTCTGTTTGTTCTGTTGCTTCCTCATCATAACATTTACATTATATTTATAGATTTTAATTCCAAAAAATGTCATATTTTTACAAAGATTACATATATATTGCTTGTTGTGAGTCTTTTTTCTTCTATAGTATCGGTAATCATGAAAACTGTGAAGCTGTGATATTTCCTCGGACAATCATGGCACCAAAATTTCATATCGTGACATCCCTAGTTGTGTGTCTTTTTCCTTCTACAGTATCAACAATATGTCGTAGAATATCGTGAAACCGTGATATTTCCACTGACAATAACCATGGTACCAAAATTTCATATCGTGACATCCCTAGATGGCATGTGCATTATCTCACCATGTGTTCTTACACATGCCCATACAACCGTAAGACAAAAACAAAACAGAGACCCAATGCTGAAACCAACTCTTAAGATCCCGTTTGTACTAGTTGCTTGACTCTGTTTGCTAACTGTTCTTCACAGAGTGCCCCTGACTGACGGAGCAGAACCAAACAATGAGCTCACTACGCAGGTTGGTGACAAAATGGTCACTCACAACTATGTGACTGCGTCCATTTACTAAACAATGCTAACTGAACCAGTTTGTGTTATGTGCTGTCTTCCAGACAACTGAGTCAGCTGGTGGCAGTATGGCGCTGGAGAAGGAGGGTGGATCTTTCTCTCTGCCCAGTCCCTATGTTTCACTTCAGGACCTTCTGCTCAACCACTTCAGAACCAGGTACACAGCTTGGTTTGAAGTTAGAGCTGTTTGACAATCACCATAAACTTTCTGCTTTCTTAAATACAATTCCAACTGTCAACTGTCTTTTTAGTATTAGACAAAGATATCCCAACAAAATAAAAAATGACGATTTGATGATTTCATTTATTGAACAGATAAGCTATCCAAATCTACTTGGCCCAATGTAAACTAGTTTCTGCTGACTCAGTTTCTAAATCAACCAATTAAAGTTACAGTGTGTAGAATTTTGTGATATCTAGTGTTGAAATTGCATGTTGCAGCTGAACTACCCTCACCTCACCCTCCCCTTCCAAACATGAAAAATAAACTGTGGTAGCCTGTAGTTCTCATAAAAACTCAAAAGGTGTTTAGTTGGTCCAGTCTGGACTAATGTAAAAAACATGACGGGCTCCGTAGAGAGGGTCCCCTCGATGTAAATATAAAGTATTTAAATATAAAGAGCCTTTTCTGGGGTAAAGAAAACTACAATTCATACAATTTAGATGAAACAAAACTAGTGAAAACATCTTGAGGATTATTCTACATTAAATTTCTGCCAATAGTTCCCTTTCACCTAAATCTTACACACTGGACCTTTAAAAGTAATGTAATTGAATTGTATTTGGTTGAACTAGGTCAGTGTCTGTTCTAAACCTGTCTGTTTGTAATGTTCTGCTTTCTTCACCTATGTCAACTCTCTTTAGCTACTTCAGAATTATTCCTTGTCATTAGTGAATCCTCCTCAAACAGTCATACAACTTACTGTCAGTTTTGTTGTTGTTTGTGTGCTGGATGTTTTGTGCACAGCGTTTCACATACAGTCTGTGTTGCAGAGTGACCTCACAAAGCCATTTTAGCCCCTATGAATGCAATATCTCTGGAACGTCTTGGCACAAATATTTACTTGAACTTGAATTACATTTTTGTAGCCAAAGGTCACAGGTCAAGGTCATGGTGGCATCGCAAAGTATGTTAACATTTTACTTGTGATGTCTTGATTTAGTTCGGACCCCAAAGTAGAGACTGAAATGCAGGTGTAGATAAAAAATAGTTTTTCGCTCAAAAAGAAGCAACAAAGAGCAGACAGTGGAGGCAGAGAGCAGGCTGGCTGGATCCCAAGGACAGCATGAGTGCAGAGCACATGGAAGTAAAAATCTCAGCACTGCAGACACAGTGAAGGCAACGGCAAGGCACAGGATAACCAGAGTAAAAGGGAGAAAAAACAATGGCAAGGTTCTACAAAAAATGTACACCGAAGATTTCACAAGGAACAGACATGCAGAGCAACTTCCGAGCTAGACGGAGTTATCTGACAGAGTAGTGGAGTCACAACCAGGCTTTTATGGGGAAGTTGATGAGTTGAGTGAGAGCAGGTCTGGACTTGTCTGCTGCAGAGAAAGAGAAGCTAGCCACGCCCCTGCCACACACGTACCCTGCAGGAGAAAGAACAGAAAGGGGAGGGGGAAAGAGAACACAAAAACATACAACAAAACCATAACAAGCACAGAATCATTTATTGAACATTATATCATAAGATCAGAGATTTGGTAGCAAATTTGGTGAAAAAAGGCTCAATTGGACTTAAAGATGAACTGACCTGAAGGTCAAAGGTTAAGGTCACAGTGACCTCACATTCCTGTGAATGTGATATATCAGGCTCCCGGTCAGGAATTCCTTTACATCTGGCACAGTTCACTTTGACTCATGTCCTGATTGGAATTTGGTGGTCAAAAGTCTAAGGCCAAGGTCACGCTGGCCTCAAAAAACATGTTTAGCTTTTGATCAGTTGTCACTTTAAGATGAAGTGGTTACATGTCAGTGGTCAAGGGTAAAAGTTTACACAGAAACTGCACTGATTGGCGATGGCATACAACCCCAGTGTGTGAGGTCACTCAATCTTGCTCTGAGAGTGACGAGAGAATCAACTCACTGCAATCAGGTGTGTGTGGCACTGATCGGCTGTGATTAAGCCCAGTTGTGGGGAGCCTTCATATACCCTGAGTCTCCAGTGCCCTGTGCTGACTCATTGTCTCACCTTCAGAGGCAGTGAGAGGTTCTCCCTGTTGTCAGTGTGTCTGAAAACACACCACTAAGAATTTTGCCTGTAGTTTTCCCACTGAATAAGTTGGTGCTGAAGAGTTTGCTGTGACTCTAGCCTTTGCCTTTCATTTAGAGTTTTCTGGGTCTCCTGGACAATTTTAGGTTTTAGTCAGCTGCTTGGCAGTGGTGGTTTTGTTAATCATTTGTGGTGCATTGTTTCTTTAAGGAAGCCTGTAGTGGCTCTATACAATTTCGGTATTTTGTTTTTCCCCCATTTCCAATCTATCGCTATTGCGATTTTTGTGGTTATCCCCCTGGGATAGCTTAGAGAAACCCCTGGGTCTGCACCTGTGTCCCACTCCCCCCCCCCCTCCTTTCCTGACACAGTGCGGTAATTCTATTTTGTTTTTCTAGTTTTAGAACAGACACCTCAAATCCAGAGTGAGTATGATGGAAGGGTAGGAGAATAAGAATAAGTCTGCAAGTTATCAATTTTGAGAGTGCTTTCAGATCTGACATCCACTACATGTATACAAAAAAAAATTGGGAAAAATTACCCGAATTATGAATTGCTCCCTTTCTTCTGGCTGTGTCCCTGATTATTTTAAGAAATCCAGAATTAAGCCTTTACTGAAAAAGTCAAATCTTGATCAATTACTTCCGCAGAAGTTTAGGGCCATTTCAAAACACTTTATTTTATTTCCAAAATTCTTGAAAAGGTGGTACTAAGGTGACAATGATACATTTTTGATAAATTCCAGTATGATTTTCACAAACTACACCATACAGAAACCGCTCTCCCCAAGATAACAAATGATTTATTTATGTGTGCCAATGCTGGTGATTGCTTACTGCTCCTTGACCTCAGTGCTGCATTTGACACCATTGATCATAACATTCTCATCAATAGACTAACAGAGTGTGCCGGTTTATCCGGAATTGCCCTTGGATGGTTCAACTCTCAGACAGACATTTCGGTTCCCTTAGGAAAATAATGTTTCATCTTTGTCTCCACTGATGTGCAGGGTGCTACAAGTTTCTATTCTTGGTCCCATCTCATTTTCCCTGTACATGCGGTCATTAGAAAATATCAGTTATCTTAATGGAATATCCTATCATTGTTATGCCGATGACACCCATTTTAACTTCCTTCAGTTAAATTCAGTCAATACATAAATAATAGTCTTCAGTCCTGATCAGCTAGCAGGCAATTTACTTCAATTTCTCGGTCTCGTGGCCACCAATATTAACACAACAACAAAAAATCTAGGTGTCACGTTCAATTCCCCCACTGAATTTTAAAACACATGCGTTAATGAGATCATTATATCCTGCTACTTGCACCTATGAAATATATCCAGTATATCTGAGCAGCACTGTGCAGGCCCTAGCTCTCGAGCTCTGGACCTGATGCGACCACAGGGGAGGGCAAACAGGGACCCAGAAAAATTGCTCTGTGTTGTAGGAGGTTTGTTGTAGTCATAGTCCACAATCAGGATACCATTATAGGCTATCATCATGATCCACTGCAGCCATCATGATCCACCATCAGCTGCCACCTTAATCATGATCCACCACTACGATCAGATGCCAGCATGATACCGGATCTGCCATTATGATCACGATCTCTGATTCATGATCCACCATCATAATCCACGACGTGGCCACACCCGCAGCCCTGGATCTGCAAACAATAAAGCACAGGGGGCTCAGGGGAAGAAGTCAAGTCAATAACGTGTGTTGATATGACATTAAGTTATTTGATGTGATAAGGAGGGAGAAGATGAAAGAGAAGCTCCATGTGTCATGTGTCCCTCAACATTCTAAACCTATAGCAGCATAACTAGATAGATAGATAGATAGATAGATAGATAGATAGATAGATACTTTATTGATCCCGAAGGAAATTCAAGCATCCAGTGGCAGTAATATACATTGGAGTTAGCTTATAACACAGTAACCATACATAGAAATTGGCCTGAGATTAATGTAAATTTAAATGTGTACAGAGGAATTAAGGAAATTAAATTAAACAATTGAAGCAAAATTAAACTTTTACAGAGAAATGTAAAGTTTGCATAGGATTTAAATATATACAGAGGAATTAAAGTTAAACATTTGCAGAAAATGTGCATAGAAAATAAATATAGAACTGTGTTAAGTTAACGTGTGCTAATCGTCTATACAAAAATGATGTAAAAACTAGAAGGTAACTGTAGAAATAAAAATGTTTTATACAACTATAAACTATATTAAAAATATAAAGTGACCGTAGAAGATTGGGAGAAATGGGGATAAAGGACTGTAAACAGATGAATGAAATGAATGAATGAATGAAAGTCACAGTCACAGCATGTAGCAGAGGTGGTCAGACATGGCAATGACAGAGAGTCCAGGAAGTTGTGCAAAGAGATTAGTCCATTGTCTATTGTGCTTCCTGCCATCACTAAGAGCTGTTGTACAGTATGATGGTCAGGGGGATGAAAGAGTTCTTAAGTCTGTTTGTGGAGCAGGATTGAGACAGCAGTCTGCCACTGAACACACTCCTCTGCCTGATGAAGGTGTTGTGCAGAGGGTGGTGGGCGTTGTCCAGTATGGACAGCAGTTTGTCCAGGGTCCTTCTCTCTGCCACTGTCACCAGAGACCTGTCATCCAGCTGCAGCCCCAGATATTTATAAGTCCTGACCACCTCCACATTAACCCCCCTCGATGGACACTGGTTGGAGATGTGGTTTCTTCCTTCTGAAGTCCACCACCATTTTCTTGGTCTTGGAGGTGTTCAGCTGCAGGTGGTTGGACCTGCACCACCCCACAAAGTTCTTAATTATGCTCCTGTACTCCCCCTCCTGTCCATCCTTGATACAGCCAACTATCGCAGTGTCATCTGAGTATTTCTGCATGTGGCAGAGCCCAGAGTTGTACTGTAAGTCAGATGTGTACAAGGTGAAGAGGACAGG